ACCACACAGCCAGACAGGCACATCACACATAGACAGTGGTCCCCCATCGACAGACACGCACACACTCATCCGCAACAGATATACAGACACGGTAAGACACAGACAGACAACCACAACAACTTGTATTTATATAGCACCCTTCACACAGGGCAGCGTTTCGGAGCGCTTAACAGTGGCAAAGACTGATACCAAGTTGGGGGGGGGTGGGGTGGGGGTGACCGTAAGCATAGTTGAAGAAGAAGGTCTTCAGGTGTGATCTGAAAAAGGGGAAGGAGGGAGTAAGGCAGAGGGATTGAGGGAAAGAATTCCAAGGATTCATTGTGAGGCAGTGGAGGAGGATGGCATGATCGACTGTCTTGAATGAAGCGGAGAGGTTCAGGAGGACAAGACACAGACAAATACAACACACAGGCGGACAGACACACCACACATAGACAGAGTCCACCCATCCACCACCCCCGAGACAGACACACACACATCCTCAATAGACACAGGCAGACAGCCACACCACACATAGACAGAGCCCTTCACAGACAGACAGAAACAACACATCCACAACATAGCCAGACATAGATAGACACAGACCTGAACACGCGCACACAAACACAAGCATATTCTGTCTGTTTGTTCAGATCCTGTGCTACAAAAGAGACGGATGAGGTGCAGCAGTGAACAAGCAAGCACCCGAAAACACATTCCAAGGCTTCATTATGTTTAGCTGAGCAGAGCTGTGTATGGGAATGAAAGATGTGATCTGAATGAGCTAGAGGGGAAGAGGATGGGTGGGGGAGGGGAAGGATGGGGGATGGGGGAACAGATTCCCTCATTCGACATAATATCGGCACAGCAATATCAAAGACACTGAGCACACAACTGACCAGCCATTTGTGCTCCCATTGTGATGGCTCTAACCTGTTCAAATATTTAATTGATCAATAGAATGATGAATTAACAAACCGATTGGCGACTGGAGCACTGCGCTCACATTGATTGACTTTTCTTTTTAAAAACAAATCAAAAACACTTTCGCCAAAAAACTGGAAAATGAATAATAAAAATTGCAGCGTGTCTGTGCAACCAGCAATTTAAAAAGAATGAAACCTCCTCCCGCAAGCATACAATCTCCACTTCACTACAGGTCATTCCAGATCACACACTTGAAAGATCGACCAGATCTATTCAAAGACTGAAAATGCCAAACAAAAAAAATGACTGTGGGTGTAAGAAATTAGCATTTCGCTTCCTTCCCCCCTCCCCAAAAAAATACTGTGAGATTTTTGGAATTCTACTCAGGAAAATCTTATTTTTTATTTAAAAGCAGAAAGTTACACACCAACCATTCTTCTGGCTGAGATATTGCCTTACGTGCTAATGCATGGGTTGGGGGGGGGGAGAGAAAGAGAGAGACACTGGTGTGACTTTAAATAATTTACACCTGTAAATAGGGCATGTGGTCTCAAGCTCATATCTAATCAATCTGGATCTGTTAGCCTATAATAAAAGATATCACCTTTGCCCCATTTTTGATTGATTTTTCCAAAGCTATACACACTGACTGACAATTCCCTAAACAATTTCTTTCATGGCTGCATGAAACTGAGTGAGACAGACCATGTATAATAGAAAGCAAATGGATTTTGCGAAGGAGCGGCAGCTCGGCAGCCCTCTCCCCGGCTGGAGATGACGTGGACATTCTCCATCCCCACGTCTGTCTGGACCGTGCACTGCATTCACACACTGGCTAATGCATGGCAGCCAACATGTGACAAGCCCTCTCTGGTCAACACTCAAGAGATTGTGGGTTCTTTGAAAACTGAAGGAGCCTGTGAGCATGCAGATAAACAGTCTAGCTCAGCAAACTGTTTAAAAGCTATTCATGATTTTTTAATACATATATATATACATCGTCTGGTGGCACAATGACATACTACTCTGTTAGAGCACAGTCAAATATGTAAACATGTGTTTTTATATATGGTACACATACAGTATATCTATACATATATGTACACATACGTAAATGTGTAGTTTATATGTATAAAGGTAGACATATTATATACTGTACACGTATTTTATAATCTGTGTAATATATATGTGTGTATGCATTTTACATATTATATATAGTATTTGTGATACATATTATATATAATGATTAAAAAGCACGTGTGCTCATTGTAACTACAAAGTCGTAGAAGTAAGACAGAAAAATCAGCCTTAATAGTCAGATGAAGCTTTTAATTCCACTCAGATTTTATCATTTTAGCTGCAGGGTACATGAGGGAGAGCTTCATCTCCTCCCCCTAAACTCCCTTAGCAACATAGTCATCCTATCAGCGCTCCGTAGTCCTCACCTAATGAGCCGCACTTCAAGTAGGTCAGCCGGCATTCTAATGACACCGCGGTCGGCTGGCCCTACGGTTCCGTATGTCTGCCTTACCCCATAATAACCTCAATTGCCTGGTGACACAATGACATACTACTCTGTTAGAGCACAGTCAAATCACGCTGCATTATTCCGCCTCGAGCATCGCTGCCAGAGCCGAGCGGCATCAATCAGCCAGCTATTCACATGCACTACTGGCTCCAGCACAAAAGAGTCCGTTCATTAATGACCAGCTGTTTGGACTAACATCCAAACAAAACAAAGTCGGACTAATATCCAAACAAGATAAAGTCCCGTCCCATTCCCACCCCCCCACCCCCACCCCCACCTTCTCCCCACCCTCCCAGTCTGACATTCCACATCTGCCCGATTATGCTCATCCACTTAAGTGTGAGCTATGAATTAAAAGCAATTCAGCATTGAAACTGTTCAAAAACATGTACATGTCTGTCTCCCGCAGCTCGAGCTTCTCCTACACAGACCAGGCGGGTTTGAAGATGTTTGAGTTCGAACACTGGTCCGGAATGCCACCCTGTCTGGACAACAATCCGCTCCAGCCCCGCCAGCGTTATTCCCACTCACCATCATGTGTACAACGCACACTCTGGGGTCCCCAAGCCTTGGCTCTCGACAATTTGTGCCTAATACTTTCCAGTATTAGGTAAACAGGATGAGTTCCTCCGGGCAGAGAGTCCATTCCAACAATTGATCTCTGGAATTTCCATGTAGGTGTGATGCATGGAATTCTCAGCTTGGTTTGGATATTATTAAGCATGGTGATGGATTTCCTCATGTGTCAGACACCCAGCTGACCAAAAAATGTGTGTGAAGTGCGGTGTTATGTGACAGCCCAACCCAATCATATACCCCGGTCCCAGACGTTCAATCAAGTGTCATTTCTTTCATCCTAGCCATCTGTATTTTGGTAGCAGTCTGACATATGATACATAACACAGTCATGTGAACATTTGTGTTAATTTGACCCACATCATGATCATGTGAACATTGGTATCAAAGATAATAATAATCCTTGCATTTGATATAGCACCTTATCACTTCTTCGAGACATCTCAAAGCGCTTTACAGAATATACTATGAAATGAATTGATTATATATTTTGTGGGCGAAACGCAGCCAATTGCACACAGTAGTGTCTCACAAATAGTCGTAGATTAAGTGACCAAATTATTATTTTTTTTGAAGGGATTACTACGCCCGAAAAGCTATCTGTCAATCAACTAACAACCGGGTTCCTATTTACTGCTAGGTAATCAGAGGCATGTGGAGTAAGGAAACTTGCTTAATGTTTTGCCCTAACATTATCGTTAGTGTTAATGTGACCCAACTCATAGTCATGTGAACATTGGCATCAAACTAACATGTGACACATAACAACAAAATTACATTTATAGTGCCTTTCACATGAAAAGGATGTTCCATATCACAGTCATGTGTGCATTGGCTTCAAACTAACATGCAACGCATATCACCGCCATGCATATATTGGTGTTAAACCAACACATTCTGCCTGTCAAAACCACTTGTATATAGGTGTCAATCTGACTGGTCCCACACTGGGCCACACCACAGCCACTTCCGATGCAAGAGATGAATGCATCTTCTAAAACGCCAAACAAGATGAATATTCACAAGGTGTTACTTTTATTCTGCCAACGAGAAAGAGTTATCAAGTGGAACAACTGGCCTTCGACTGACAGGAGTCCATTTTGATTTTGCAAAGCAAATCTTGCTGTGCCAGTTTCAATGAACCAATGGGTATTAGAACAGTCAAGCAACCAAACAGCTCGCCCCCACCCCCAACTCCAGCCATCTTGGGAGTTCAAACATTACATAGATACACACATGATAATAATTGCATACATAATGATGCAGGTGCTACAAACTAGTTGCCCAACACACTGAAGGGAAAGGGGAGGGGAAAGGGTGTGTGGGTGATGGAGCAATCTGCAGACACAACGCAAGAGAAAAATTGGGACTACTGACTTGTTCGTCAGTGACTAAAATCATTCATCTTTTTAATCGGACATCAGCAGCATTTGTACCCAGGCCATATTGGGACCATTGTGTGGTCATTGTGTGGCGTCCGGCTTGGTTCTTTCCAAAGGCAACACTCAGTATAACCAGGCTTACCATCGTGCCTACACCAATCACATGAGGTAACGTTCAGAGTTCTACATTTTGCAAAGCAACATGTTTCGGACCCTGCTGCTCATGTCTTGAAGTACTCAAAGGGTTACAGGCTCTTTGAGGGTGATCGATTCTCCTAGTTTGTTTCTACACATTTGCAGAATTGATTTGCCAACAATATATACATATATAAATAAAATGCTTGCAGTTGTACATACAGTCATCCAAAAAGTAGCCGTGTCCCTGGTGAACATAGCTCTTCGCTGAGCTCAACTTTCTCCTAAACTCCAAACAGATTATTTTCCCCTTTGAGCTTGCAGTGCAACGTTATTAGAACCCCTCCGCAGGAATGTTTTCCAGCAGCTGGACAAACATAATCCAACACACAGGGCTGTCTTTGTGGTGCTGGATTAAAAGGTCCTGCGCTGAAAAAAACCCAACCCAGACAGGCACCTCTCCAGTAACTCACCATTGATTTTTCAGGAAATCCCATCAGGATAACTGTAAGACAGCCTAAGGTCTTGATAAATTGGAAGACAGCGATGTGACCGTGAGGTGAAAAAAGACTGGCCTCTTGTCAGCAGAGATGTTTATGCCACCAGGCGTACTGTACTGCAATAGCTTTGCATGAGTCTCATTGCTTTTCAGCTGGAGCTGTTTCTCCTTATCAATATGATATGCATTCCTCCTGCAAACCTCCTACTCCTCACCTCCCCCACAACCCCTCATGCCAACACCCCACGGTCTCTCCCCTACCCCCATTCCTTCAGGAACAGGATGCCCTTGAAGTGCATGCTAACATCTGGTGAATGCGAGATTCCCTCTTGCTCATCATCGCAGAGCAATTTAGTGCGAGTCGATCAGCTCAGAAAGGGTTACACGCCCCATCGCCACTCTTTGAAAGGCATTTTAAACATACATAATTCTTTCAGATAAAAGCCCTCTCGTCGCAGTCTGGTATTTATATCTCAGAATCGCAGAGAATGCTTTTGCCCCGTAGGATTAAAATGGCCTATTTTTATTTTAAAACCCAGGTGGCTGACAAGCCTTTGGATCCAGGAGCGAAAAAACATACACAGGGTTTAAAAAGTTAATAGCTCTTCCAGCGGCCTGTTGTCAAACTCCGATGCAGAAAATGGGTGCAGGTGGGAAGCTGAAGACAGAAGTTGCAATCAGCCTCTGATGTTCCGACATGATAGACTTACTGTGTAACTGTTTCGGAATTATTAGAAAAACTGCATGACAGCTGAATTCCCCCAGGACACCAGTGCAATCACCTGCTCTTGCAGGTTCCTCCACGAAAAGTCCCTCAGACATACAAATTGCTGTGTGCAGCGTCTGAAGGTGCCGTTTGTAGATTCTGCGACTGTCTGGAGAGCGGCGAGCAAAGAAGCAGGCAATCAGGCGGCAAAGCGCTTTTCCAAAACCTCTGCCATGACAAGAGGATTCATCACAGGCACCTTGTCCATCCATCTCCAACAGACTGCTGAGAATGCACCATTACATCACTTTGCTCTCTCTCTCTCTCTCCCCCCCATGTTAATTCCTGCAAGCAATAGCTGCTGCTTTTTTTCCAAAGATACCTTAGTCGTGCACTTTATTTCTTTTCCTCCTCCCATTGCCTGATCGCAGCTGATGAGGTAGGTTGCAGCATCATTCCCCGGCACTCTGAGGATCAATGATAATCAAATCAAAGCGAGTTGAAGGAAGAGACGGAAACGGCAACACAGGAAAGATATGATTTTTTTTAGATGGTGGGGCGGGAAGGAAAATAAATCGTTATTTACAATTGCAATTTAATAGAATAACAAGTCTGCATATAGACCTCATGAAGAAAGCGTTTGCTTTATCCAGCCATTAAAAAGAATAGGGATTTGAAGCAAAATAAGGGAGAAGCATCCAATATCCATAACGGCAAAAAGCTCGCAACTAATTTTTTCTGCTACGTAACTGTAGTAGTCTTCGGAGCAACAAAGCTTCTGCGGAACGCTCCAAGCCAAAAGTCACATGAGAAAGCACATGATCGAGCAGTCGGATGATGATGTGGTCAACTGTTTTATTGAAAGAAATGAGAACATCATAGGCGATGCTTGCTCTCTCTCTAGTGGTTAGAGAGTATTTCTCTCCTTCCTTCTTTTGTCCTTTTCCTCTTTTTAAAAAAATACAAGAAAAAATCTCCGACACGCACAGACTGTGGATGCTGTTCCTAAGGCATTAGCTTGATGGCAGCAATATTACTTCAGAGGGGACACACACCAGCAGCTCCGCACGCCACACAGACAGGAGACGGCAAGCTCTCTTGTTTATTCACCTGTGAGCGCTTTGACCCTGCGGCTGAATAACACGATGGGGATATCGTCGCCTTTTGTTCCTTTTTTCCCCCACTTGGCACCGTTGACAAACTCACTGCTCGGCTACGATCCAGATGTTTCAAGCAAGGTCACGAAGGAGATTGTGTGAAAGACAATGAGAGTCTCCAGCAGGAACCGCAGGGTGAACCTTGGATGTCACACACGCACCTTGAGACTGTTTACCTCAACCCCAGTCGACTGGGGGAGGGAGGGAGGAGAGCGGAGGAAGGAGGAGTGGCACGTGTACGCACAGTCTGGCATCTCGCCAGCGTGCTTGTGCCGGCGGTTATTACATGTAATGAATGCCATTCAAGGTAAATCATTCTCGAGAGAAAATTAATAGAGGTTTCCTTTTCCTTGGCGAACACACAGTGCGGTACGATTTTAAAAATTAACTGGTTGCAAGCCAAATAAATTTCTCTTACAGAACTCGGAGGCGATGTCCAATTCACACCGCTCAGCAATTCAGATCAGCAGCGAATCCATAGGGGAAGAACGACAGAGATTTTTTTTTGAAGAGAACAGCGTTATTTTTTGTCCTCGGAAAAGATGATCGCAACATGTTACATTTTAAGCATGAGCACACATTTCTTGAGGCTCCCGCCTGCTCAGGGTAAAAGTAAAAGAACATTTTTACTTGATATTTCAACTGAACATGATAAAAATAACAGGGCTAGCAGGATGTTTTTGATATTAACCCCATGTCGTCTGCAATCTCAGCTTGAAAGACACATTCATAATGTGATGAATTTTGAAAACACTGCAAATCCCAAATCGCTCCAGTGTAATATATGGCAATTGCCTCCATAGGAGAACTAGAAGTCAGTTCCCTGGAAACTGACACAGTACACATGCCCTAAGGGAGCACTAGCTAGATTTTATAGCTGCTCAATTTGATGCACTACCGTGCAACATTTCCCTTTGTTTAGCGAACACAACACAATAATTCAACCATCCACGGGACTTTGACCTAGTAGGCTTTCCAGCGAGCTTGTAAAACTCCTCAATACCCGCCTCAATCTCCTCTTGGATTGCAATACTTATTGATGGTCAAACTCACAAGTTGGATATAGACTCGTATTCCACACAGGTCAAGATCGCACAGTGAAAGGGCCTTCCACCAGTCAACGACTGTACATGTCTAAATGAATGAGGATGTTGAAAAGCCCTTTGTATAAATAATGACTGAGTGGCACAAGTAAGAATAGTTTATTCATGACCAACAAAGGGTAAAGCAATAAACACATTGTTCAATGAAAAAGGCTTGTTTGGGCCATTACGTGGCTTCAAACAAATATCGACATATTTTGCCTGTGGCAACAATGTGCTAGGATAATAAATCACTGGTTGCACAGCAGCAAAAAGTATCCCTGAGAATAGAAAGAAAGAACTCACAACTTCATAGCACCTTACGCACTGAAACATGCTTTATCGTGTTTTAATAGCAGCGACATGCTTTATAGTAATTATTGTCAAGTGCAATGACTGCTTTTGTAAGTAGCTATTTTGTAGCCACAAGGTAAACGATCAATTTAACTGCATGATTGTTGGTCAGGACACCAGGCAAAACTTCCTTCTCCTTGAATATTTTCATGAGATCTTTAATGTCCACCTGAAACCAGGTAGGCATTGGTTCTGCCCCTTCCAATGCCATGATATCTTTATTGTAATATGGCAACCAGAATTTTCAGAGCTCCCAAGTGCACAGTTCACAACTATATCAAGCTTACACCAAGATGAAATGTACAGGACACTGGATCATCACAAATGAAACAACATCTTCTTCTGTGGATGAACTAAGTACAACCTGAATAGGGTTTCAGCTCCCTCACACGGAAAGCCACAATTAAATCTAGTGACTGTTCCAATGATATATCTTGCTTGATTTTAAAAAAATGGAAATTTGGACAAAATATGATTCAAGAGGATCAGCATCCATATTTCAAAACTTACAAACACTGGATTCAGTAAGTTTAATTCTTATGGATTATAAAAAGTAGACATTCAGGCTCAAATGTTCTTGGAAAGCCTCTTGTTCTAGATGGGGGAGTAGACTTATGTTTCAAGAAAAGATTTGCTCAAAAACAGCAGCAACAATTTACATTTATACAGTGCCTTTAACACAACAAGGACATCTCAAAGTGCTTCAGTCAAAGTACACCTCACTGGGAGCCTGAGCTGTGAGATGGGGTCAAACCTTAAGGATAGGAGGGAAAAGTTGGCTGAAAACGCAACTGAAAAGACAGATATCACAGGCATATTAACTAATTCAATTAAAATTCCTTTTTTAATGAGGTAAGTACAATTTGGTTAATAATTTCTAACATGATAAATGAATCACGCTCAGGCTTTCTTTGGTGCAACAGTACTGAATTAGATAGGAGAAATTGTTGAAATATTAATGTTTCGCCCACAAAATACATAATCAATCCAGTATACTTTACAGTATATTTATGAAGTATGTTGAGATGCCTTGATAATATAAGGCGCTATATCAAAACAAGGATTATTATTAGATACTGTACTAAATTGAGTTTGGAGAAAAATGGTCCACAAGCTGACAAAAACAAATAATAATAATTATTGTTGCATTTGTTATGGTGCCTTGCATGGTTGGGAAGACGTTCCAAAGCGCTTCATAGATGTACAGTATGTAAAGTGGAGTGATTGTGTATTTGTAGACAAATGCGGTAGCCCAATTGCACACAGCAATGTCAGGAAATGAATGATCAATTTTATTTGGGAGATTGTTGGTTAGGATGCCAGGAGAAAACCCCTTCTCTCTTCCAACATTGCAATGGGATCTTTAACGTCCACCTGAAAAGGCAGGTGGGACTTTGGTTTATCGTCTTATCCAAAGGATAGCACCTCCAACACATCATCACTACTCCATTGCAAGAACAAGAAAGATATCAAAAACAAGCAAATAATCAAATATGGAAACAGTGTAAACACTGGAGAATGGGACACAGAGCTGGGAAACATGACAGATTATGAAATTCCATTTTCAGCATTTTCTTAGACCTGAAACGCTCTTATCAAAATAAACTGAGGGTAAATTACAGAACTATTTGACTCATTTTTTCATTTATGAATTCCATGACTGAGGAAACTCAGCGCAGAGATTGAACATGCTGTATATTGCACCTCCACCTCCGAATGTGGAGACCACACCACCTCACATGAGCATTGTTGTCCTAAAGCTCATCATTGTATGAAATTTCAACTAAAGTTTGGGATTCCCAGCATAAGTAGAGCCAAATTCAAAATTTTTATGACCAGATGATGAGCATCGGCAAGTATTGTATGTGACTAAACTGTGGGACCAAACTGGTAGCTCATTCAGAGAGCCAGTATGGATGGGACAGGCCGAATGGCCCTATCTGTGCTGCAAATTTCTATGTTTCTAACTATGAGTCAAGGAGCTCTCTAGCAGAGCCTGTGCTGTGTTCTGAATATACTATATTTCAATTGAACATTAGTTTGTGGAACATTGCTGTGTGCAAATTGGTTGCTGTGTTCACATACAAATACACTTCACTACACTTCACAAGAAAACCTTGTGAAGTTCTTGATGAGCACTATATTAAATGCAAGGAATATTATAAAAGTTATGCAACATGGCAGTTAAACAACATCGCATTTTGCAAGTTCCTACCACTTTCAAACATCTCAAACTGCCATAACGTAATTACCATGTGGAAGCAAATACAATAAACATTTTGTACACATCAAAGTCCCACGAATAACTGAGGTGAATAACTAATTTTGTTGAGGATTGCTGGCCAGATCATTGTGAGAAAATCCCTTTTATTTTCAAGTAGTGCCATGGGATCTATGACGTCCACCTGATCAGGCAGTCTGGACCATGGTTTAACATCTAATTTGACTAGATGGCTCCTTCAGCAATACAGCGCTTCCCTAGTACTATAATGGCGTGTCAACCTAACGTATGAGCTCTAGTACTGATGTGGAGCTTGAACCTGCAACCTTCCTACCCAAAGCAGAGAATGCTATTTATTGAGCCAACCAGACACCTAAGGTCAAGCAAAAGTCTCTGCAACATGAGATGTGTATATCGGTGAGGAAACAGAACTGTAGAAAAATCAATGAACCCTGAAATCAATGAATTCCCTCATTCAATTTCAGCTCTATATCCAGGATTAACATTGATTGTAGCTATTCTGGGTGTCTGACTGGATAAATTCAGGCGGGGAGGGGGGGCAGGAGCTCCTAAAGATGAAGGCTACACAGCTTCTAATGTGTGGGGCAAAAGTATGTCATTTTTACAGTCACTTGTAATATAAATAAAATAGTAATCAAATTGAGAGAACAGTTTGCTGTTCAAAGAAGAGATAAGAATACCTCCCAGCGAGCCAGTTGCTATACACTGTTTCCAGA